AGCACTAAAAAAAACCCCAAACCCAAAGGTACTTAAAATTAAGTCTAACAATATATGTACAAAAACTACATAAAGAAAACTACAAAACTGAGGCAAGAAATAAAATAAAATCTGAATGAATGGAGAAATATTTCAAGTTCATGCATAGAGAAACCTCGTATTTTTAAGATTTCAGTTCTTCCCAACTTGATCTATGGATTCAATACAATCTCTATCAAAATCCCAGAAAATTATTTTTTTGGATATTGAAAAACTGATTCTAAAGTTTATATGGAAAGGCAAAGGACCCACAGGAGCCAACACAGTACTAAAGAAGAATGAAGTAATAAGACTGACACTACATGATTTCAAAATCTACTATAAAGCTACCATAACCAAGACAGAGTGATATTGGTGAAGAAGCAAATAAATAGAATAGAATAGAGAATCCAGAAATAGACTCATACAAATACAGTCAATTCTTTTATGAAGGAACAAAGATAATTCAATGGAAAGAGTATAGTTTTTGTGTGTGTGTGTGTGTGTGTGTGTGTGTGTGTGTGTTTAAATAGATGGTACTGGGAGAAATAGACATCCACATTAAAAATAAATCCAGACACTGAGCTTATTATGCCTTTCACAAAAATTAACTCAAAATGGATCATAGATCTAAAGGTCAAACTATAATATTTCTAGAAGATAACATAGGAAGAAATCTAGGAGACCTTGGATTGGGTGACAAGTTTTTAGATACAATACCAAAAGCACAATGAAAAAAACAAAATTTAAGTTAAACTTTGTTAAAATAAAAAATTTCTGGGGCCCTCAAGACGGTGGTGGACACACTGAGTGGGCTCAGCCTAACAATAATGGTAAGCACTCACTGCCACCAGGGCTAGCCACCCCAGGAGTAGCTAAAATAAGAAGAAATAAACAAAAACAAAAGCTACTGCTCCACAATACTCTGTTAAAGAGAATGAAAAGACAAAACACCGAATTAAAGAAAATAGTTGCAAAACACACTATTCCCCTGATAAAGAACTTGAATCCAAAATATACAAAGAGCTTTTAAAACTCAACAATAATAAAATGAACAACCCAATTACAAAATAGGCAAAGATACAAACAAACACCACCAAAGAAAATATGCAAATGATAAGTACTTAAGGATGCTCAACATCATGTCATTAGGGAATTGCAAATTAAAACAAGATAGCCTAATTTGTCCTCTTCCCTTCTTATTCAAAGTCTACACAGCCCTCTAGATGCTGCATCCACACCTGTACAAAACCTTTCCTGATTCACACAGAGCTTATCTTTATTTGAATTGTCTTAAAGTTCTGTGTTGAATTGCAAAAAATGAACATAAACGTCTCATCTCTGTGTGTACACCCTTTTGCAATGTGACTTTTCCACTCATCTCATCAAGATAGGATGTATTTCTCTACCTCTTGACTCTGGACTGGGCCTTTGATGTTTTCAGCCAATGGGATAAGCGTAAAGGGTACAAGCAGAACCTTAAAAAGATTCTGTGGCCTGCCTAGTGTGGCTCAGTGGATTTGAGTGTCATCCCATGGACTCAGAGGTCTGGGTTCAATTCCCAGTCAAGGCACATACCCATATTGTGGGTTCAATCCCCATTGGGGCTTGTGTAGGAAGCAACAAATTGATGTTTCTCATTCTTTCTCACTCTCGCTCTCACTCTCTCTCTTGCTCTCACTCTCTCTTCCTCCCTCCCTCCCCATTCTTCTCTCTAAAGTAAAAACAAACAAAAAACACGTAAAGGTGGAAGCAACCCAAGTGTCCATCGACAGATGAATGGATAAACAAAATGTGGTATATCCATATACTGGAATATGATAAAAACAAATGAAGTTCTGGCATATGCTACAATGTGGATGTTATGCTAATTAAAACAAGCCAGATATAAATATTGTATAGTTGTCACTAAAATAGACAAATTTGTAGAGACAGAAAGTAGACTAGTCAAGTTACCAAGGACTGAGGGGAGGACACAGCAGAGAGTTATTGGTGATGGAGTTTTTATTTGGGATGATGAAAAACTTTTGGAAATAATTGTGATGGTTGCGCAATATTGTGAATGTAATCAATGTCATTAAATTGTACACAAAATGGCAAATTTTGTTATATATATTTTAACACAATTTTAAAAAATTTGTAATGTAATATACCAAAACCCCTTGAATTGCACATTTTTTTTAATAGACTGGAAGGGAGGGAGGGGGGAGAGAAACATCAATGTGAGAGATACATCGATTGATTGCCTCTCATATGACCCCGGAGGCAGGGATTAAACCTGCAACCCAAGTACATGCCCTTGACCAGGAATCAAATCTGAGACCCCTCTGTCCACGAGCCCACACACTAATTGCTGAGCCAAATCGGCCAGGGCTGAACTGTCCATTTTAAATGGGTGGATTGTATGGTATCTGAATTACATCTTAATAAAACTATTAAAAACTTTTTTAAACAAAACAGTAGCAAAACTAACCCTTGGCTTTACTTTTCTCATTACATAGAAACTATCCAGAATACTGTACTTCTCTTTTCACCTTCAATGCCTATAAGCTTAAATTTTATATTCAAGCACAGTAATTCAGATGTGCTAAAACACCATTGCTATCATCATCATTCTCATAAAAGTGGAGGTTCCAGTGTTCTGTTCACATGTGTCTTCCTTTGTCCCATCTCTTCATCTTTGTTAACTAAAATTCAGTCAAGTAATTTTTCTTCAGGCCCCCAACAGATCCTAAAGTAAACTAAAATAGTAGAAATTTTTTTCTTTCTTTTTTTTTATTAATTAATTTATAAGATAGTACACATTTGAGGTCATAGTGTTACTTTGTTAATATTATGCTATAGCTTCAGATTAATAATTAACCCTCAGAGCAAAAAAGAAGAGCTCATGCTACAGAGAAAATAAGAAACACCCCAAAAGCAGCAATGATGTCAGTAGGTTAACCAGTAGCATTTGAAACCACCTTCAATCCATTCTTGGGAAGTATGTTACCACAGATAATTAAAGACTCAAATTTCATAACACAGACACAGAAAACAATCATTATTAACCTTTCATTCTGGGGCATTCTATTAAGAAAAATATTCAAAAATTCTTGAAATGTCCATATTTGGGAAAACTATCTCAAAATTCCAAGGTGCTTGGCTTTAAGGCCACAGGAAAAAGTCATTCATGTAGAAGAATGAGAGAGAAAAAATTCTTAATTCCACACAATACACAACTCTTTTCATCTCAGTAAAAGACAGAGTCCTGGGTAAATTACACCAGTCCCCTAGTTAGCCTACCAAAATATTAACCTGTGCAATGAATTGCTATAAAAAGAAGCTTATAAATACAAAACCCAAAATAGATACACTCTACTTCCAGAAATAAAGTTTCTGATGGTGTAGTACATTGATGTACCTCTTTTGATGAGAGAGAAGAAGTATTATCACTAGAAAAATCCATTTGGCTTGCCTCTGCAATAAACTAAATTTCCCAAGAACAGGTACTATATTCGTTCTTCCATCCACAGAGCAAGTACTTTAAATTTGGATGTGCTCTTAATAAATATTTCTTGAACATCAGTTTGGAGTCAATCAGACTGTAAATTAAACTTTTCACCAAAAGTAGATAATTGAAGGTAAAAAAACAACATATTAAAAGGTACAATGGTACTTTAAAAGAGATATATACCCTCATATACAACAATGCCCACTTGGTTTTTTACTCTTGCTAGGGCTGTTGAAAAGAAAGAAGGACAGCATCTGGGTAAAACAGAGTTCTGGAGGCAGAGTAGGAGTCAGGGAGGATATATGGAGGAGGGTCTGCCCTAGTGGAATACGTGTCACCTCCTTAAGCCCTGGCCTTGGTTTCCTCTTTTTTTTTTGGTACGGGCCCCTAGCAGGAACCAAACCTGAGACTCTCTGTTCTGCAGGCCGATGCTCCAACTGCTGAGCCAAACCGGCTAGGGCTGGTTTCCTCATTTTCAAAAGGTGATGTTTACCTTAGTTTGTTTACTATTTAAGAATAAACAGATTCAAAGTTCTCCTTTTTAACATTTTTTTTTTTACTCACCTTTATTCTGCTCCTAAAAGAGATTTAACATTATTAGTGATGTTTTTTTTTAAATTGCAGAACTGTCTTTCAACAGTTTCCATATTGTCTACCTAATTTTATCCAATATCTCTAATCAGTGGTAAAAAGTCATATATGAGCTTTTATGAGTTGACAATTATATGTGCTCAAAATATATAACACTGATATTATTCCAATTTAACATTAAAAATTCCAATATCCTCATATTTATATTCAGAAAATGAAAGCTGGCTCAGATATACCCATAGAAGAATTTGTTAACTATCTAATCGAAAGACATAAGTGATATTTTCTTTCTTTCTTTTTTTTTATTTTATTTTATTTTATTTTTTTTCAGGGGAGAGCGCGAACGCAGTCCCCCACTACCACAAATTATGCAGTCGAGTTTCCCACATTTGGGGAAATCGCGGGGGTCAGCACATCCGGAGTGCAATGGATAAGCCTCGCCCTGGGAAAACCACCTTCGTGATCATGGTATTATAAGTGATATTTTGACAAGGGATGTAAGGATTAAGCAAACTAGTCAGACACAAGTTCTTAGTCTCTAAAGCTGAATTTCTAATAAGTTTAACAGTTTGTTACCTTGTGTGTTACCAGAACTTTAAAATAATTTATTTTCTAAAAGGATGGAGGGTAGGGGAAATAACTTACGCATTAACCAGGGACTGTTTGGGTATGATTATAAACTCCAATCACCATGATTTCCATGATATTCAGATTTTTAAAGCTATTTAATAAAAAAAGAAAAAGAAAAAATTATATCTTATCTAAAAGCCTATCTATGAGCTATAAGGAACTTACACATTCATGGCTGAGTGTTCAATAATACATTCCAAGTAGAATGGTCTCTAAAACTGTCTATAGTTAAAAACAGAATAGAAAAAAAAAAAATGGAATAGCTTACTGTCTTGTTGGTGAGTTAGTAGAGGATTCCTTTTTTGAATCAGGAAAGCTTAGGGTTTGCAAAATACAATTATGTTTTTCAGTGGATGGGGCATCTCTTTCTTGCTCACAGTGGATTAATTTTAAGGCCTCTGTTCCATCTTCTCCCTCCATCCCGTCACCTGGATTTGGTTGTGGTTCTGGACTCTTTAAAATAAGATCATCTTCACTTACAGAAACTGTAAGGTCACTGCTGCTCAAACTTTCCTCCTCCTGCTCTTCCCGCATTTTTCTGAAGGGCTTCTGTGACTTTGGGTCCCCATGAGGAAGATGATCTGCAAGAGGGGATATGAATACTTTACTGGTCACTGACTTAAGAGAGAAACAAAGTATGATGTTCCAACTCACAAATGGAATTACTTCATCACTTAAAACATGTAGCAACAATCCACAACTCATGGTATTTAAAAACTCATTAAAAATATTTTTTAGCCCTGGCCGGTTTGGCTCAGCGGTTAGAGCGTCGGCCTGCGGTCCAGAGAGACCCGGGTTCGGTTCCCGCTAAGGGCACGTACTTCGGTTGCAGTTTGTCCCCGGCCCTGGTTGGTCATGCGGGTGGCAGCCACTCGATGTGTACCTTCACGTCGATGTTTCTCTCTCTCTCTCTCCCTTCCTCTCTCTCCCTCCCACTCTATCTGTACAAAAAGTGGAAAAATATTCTCTGGTGAGGATTAAAAAAAATATATATATATATATTTTTTAAATATCACAATAGGTTTAAAAATGAGAAAATCTGTTTGCAAAAATATTTTCACATACACATTTAACAACTCATTAGAATGGAATTTGTTGGCAAAAACACTACTTTGTTTTTTGACAAAGATTAAAATATTTTGTTCTTACAGAAGACCAATGCCAACCAGAAAAACTAAATAACAACAAAAATCAGCAAAGAATCTCAGCCTCTCACCGCACCTGAGAAACCTTCCTCAGCGGACTGCTTCTCTTGAGAACACTTATTTTCAGATGTACAGTGTTCTGAGACCGATATCAGAGAGACGGGCAGTCTGGCTCTTTCTTCCTTGACTTCAATATGTTCTTGTGTCAGAATTTCTCCCTCTGATCCCTCTGATCTGCTGGAACTGTCACACTTTAAATCAGTGGTTCTGTTCTCTGGACTTAATCTTTTCCATAACAGGGAATGAAATTCAGCAGACTTTTTGCCTTCAGATAAATTATTCTTGCCATGATGTGTGTTGCTTCCTATCTCCAAGCAATGAGCTTGTTTTTCCTCAGACAATACGCTGGCTGTGACTAGCATTTTCTCACCAATCTGAAGAGATGTCTTTCCATCTATTTTGTGAGACTTATTTAAGCACTGTGTGTCACTATTAGTTTCTACTACATAGCTGTCTGTCACATTACAGCTCTGGGCTGTCTGTTGGTGTGAATGTGGGTCAGGAATTGAAAAGTTCTTTGTAGGTTGGGGAGATTTCTGCACTGTACTGAAATCTCCAATGCTTGAGATAGCTGACATTTGGATGCCCATAAAGACTGTTGCTGGTTGATACAATCCTCTTGACATGGCTGCCCCTGAGTTCATTCTTGCCTGCACTGTAACCTGCAGCACCAAAAGAGATGTGAGTTAAACACATGTATTATGTATGATCAATTAGGTTGTTCAAGTTGTTTCCAGAAATGAAATGAGCTAAAGAAAGCATGACCAATAAAATCAACACCTACCATGTTCTATAAATCTCATGGCTTCTTTCAAAATGAATGAGCAAAATCCAGTATAGTCCACACTACTTAATTTTAATAATATTGGTTCACAAAGAAAATATTGTTCAGAAATATGGAATCTATATTTTTCAAAAAGAGATGCATATACCAGCTGGTGTGGTTCAGTGGACTGAGTGTCATCCCATGCACCAAGAGATCACTAGTTCAATTCCCGGTCGGGGCACAAATCTGGGTTGCAGGCTCAATTCCCATTGAGGGTGTGCAGCCAATCGATGTTTCTCTCTCACATAGATGTTTCTATCTATCTCTCTATCTCCCTTCCTCTCTCTCTAAACAAATCAATAAAAAAATATTTAAAAAAACACAAATGAACAGGCTTATTTCACTCAAGCCAGTCAGAGAAAGACAAGTATCACATGATCTCACTTATATGTGGAATCCAGTGAACAAAATAAACCAACAAACTAAATATGTTCCGAGGTATGGAAGCACGTCACAGACTGACAGATCTCAGAGGGAAGAGGAGAGGGGAGGTGAATAACCAAAGAACTTATGTGCATATATGCATAATCCATGGACACAGACAATAGTGTGGTGAAGACCTAGGGTGGGGTGGGAACTGGGTAGTAGGGGTTAATGGAAGAAAAATGGGGGACATCTGTAATATTCTCAACAATAAAGATTTTAAAAAATGAACAGAGATGTCAGAGAAATGGTGGAATAAGGACCTCTCAAAATTCTCTGCTCCATAAAAGAAATAATAACACTGGAAAACATCTTTAGAATAAATTTTCAGAGCTCTGAAAATTAACCAAAGTTTTACAGCTATCTGGGGAGAATTTATGTTGTTTTAATTTGCTTTATTCCCATTTCCCCCTCCTCAAATCTGTAGTAACCTTGAAAACTAATAGCCTGTAATCACAGCTTATAAAACAGCAGCCTAGCAGATACTGAATGAAGCAGAGAAGGAATAGATCTCCTTCAAAGCCCCATTCCCAGAGAACTGTAATTATTTGAACTGTCTGGTGGTTCCCTTGAAGACAGCACTCACCAAACTGTCTTTATTTGACCTGACATGGAGCTGACACACTGTAAACAGCTTTTCCCCTGGGGAAATTTGTTGAAAATAATCAGAGGCAAGTTTTTAACACTGAGGTTTTCTTAGCAATGGATAACAGTTGGGCAAACAATAGTCTAACTAAAAAAATCTTAAAACGAAAAACTGGTGAATGAGATATCAATAGGGGGCTTTCAACAGCTCCAACATACTCCTGGAAATCTAGATGACCGGCCACATATAAGGGCTGTGAGCATGCTCAGGAAAAGTTCTGCAAAGGGCCTAAACTTTCACCTGAGGTTTACTTTGAGGCTTTGTGCAAACACAAAGAGCAGGCTAAGGTGGAGTTTTAAACTGCCTAGATGAGTGTTGGGGGTATGACCCAACACACATCCAAAGCACCTTGGCAAAGACTGTGAGACTTACTGGTTTCAAGCATTTAAAGAAAGTTCTGTCTAATCGTTAGCTAGTCATCAAGCTAATTGTACAGAAACTTCAGTGACCATACATGGCAAAGAGACTTTACATAATAAGTTCAGAAAGTCACTAAACAAAGAGCAATACAAATTCTGGGAGGAGGAGAATCTAATGTTCGGTGTAGCCTTTTTTTTTTTTTTTTTTTATCCTCACCCGAGGGCATTTTTGCATTTATCTTCAGATAGAGCAGGAGGGAGAGAGGGAGGAACAGAGAGAGAGAAACATCGATGTGAGAGAGACACATCGAGTGGTTGCCACCCACATGACCCCAACCAGACTGCGGACAAACTGCAACCGAAATACATGCCCTTAGCGGGAACTGAACCGAGGACTCTCTGGTCCATGGGCCGACGCTCCAACCGCTGAGCCAAACCGGCCAGGGCCATAGCTGTGTTTTATTATTTACAATATTCAAAGTTCCACAAAAAAATTATGAGACATTAAAGGAAACCAGAAAGTATGGTCTATACACTGGAGCAGGGAGGGCAAAAAGCCCAGATGGTATACTTACTAGACAAGGGCTTTAAATTAGCTGTTTTAAATATGTTTAAAAAAATTAAAGAAAATCATATCTAAAAACTAAAGAAAAGTATTCAAACGATGTCTAAATAGAGACTATCAATAAAGAGATAGAAATTATTTTTTAAAAAGAATCAAATAGAGAGACTTCTCCCGCCGATGGGTCCACGTGGGCCATCCTTCCTGAGAGGAAGTAACCATGTGCAACCGAAAGGTGGTGATCAAAAATGCCGGTATGTCGGAGGAGATGCATAAGGACTCCGTGGAATGTGCTACTCAGGCGTTGGAGAAATATAACATAGAGAAGGATATTGCAGCCCATATTAAGAAGGAGTTTGACAAGAAGTAAAACCCCACCTGGCACTGCATTGTGGGGAGGAACTTTGGGGAGGAGTTACATGACACATGAAACCAAACACCTCATCTACTACCTGGGCCAAGTGGTCATTCTTCTGTTCAAATCTGGTTAAAAGCATGGACTGTACCACACACCCAGTGTTCCATCCAAAAATAAGGATGGCAGCCTAAATTCTAAATACCAGAGACTGAAATCTTCAGCCTTGACTAAAGGAACACCTTGATCTTGAACCTTTATTGTGTTGTTTTGTACAGGGCATTCTCTGTATTCATTTGTTGTGGTTATAAAACAATTAGCAAACAGCTTAAAAAAAAAAGAATCAAATAGAAATTCTGCAATTGTAAAGTACAATCACCAGAATAAAAAAAAAATCCATTGCAGGGGCTCAACATCAGATATGAACAGGCAGAAGAAAGAATCAACAGACCTGAATATAGGTCAATTGAGATTATCTACATTGAGAAAAATAATGAAAAAAAGAATGAAGAAAATTAAACAGAGTCTCAGAAACCTGTGGGATGTCATCAAGCTTATCAACCCATGCCTAATGAAAGTCTCAGAAGGAGTAAAGAAAAAGAAAGGTGCAGAAATAACTTTAAGGAAATTATGGTAAAAACTTTTCAAATTTGATAAAAAACATTATTCTATACATCTAAGAAGCTCAATATAGTCCAAGGATAATAAACTCAAAGAGATCTTCACCTAAACATATCATAATCAAACTACTGAAAGTTAAAGAAGGAGAGAGGAGAAGTTTCTTCTCACATATAAGAGATCCGCAAAATGATTAATAGGTGATTTCATTTAGGAACATTGGAGGCCAGTGGGCAGTAGGATAGCATAATCAATGTGCTGAAAGGAAGACTGTTAATCAAGAATTCTATATCCACCAAAACATTCCTTCAAAAATAAAGGAGAAAGTAAAGTATTCTTTGCTAAACAAAAATAGAGAGAATCTGTCAATACCATACCTGTTCTACAAAAAATACTACTGGAAGTCCTTAAAGCTTAAATAAGAGGACACTACACAGTAGCTCCAAGTCCACATTAGAAATAAATAGAATTAGCAAGAGTAAATATACTGGTAAATATAAAAGATAGCATAAATATATTTTTATTTGCAACTCTTTTTGCTCTTCTGTGTAATTTAAAAGATAATTGTTGATAGGCACCATATAAGATATAAAGACAAAGTTTGTAATACAATAATATCACAAAGGAACAGGAAAGAATTGAAGCTATACAGGACCAACATTTTTGCATACTATTGAAGTCAAGTTGGTATAAATCCAAATTAGATTATTATAAACCAAAACATAAATTATAACACCACTGCACTTACATTAAAAGAAATAACAGGCTATTAAAATGGTACACCAGAAAATATATATTTAATTCAAAAGAAGGCAGTATGGAGGATTAAAGAAACTAAAAAACATAACATATAGAAAACAAAGAGCAAAACGGCAGATGTAATTCCCACCTTTTCTGTAATTACATTAAATTTAAATAGACTCAATAATACAATTAGAGACTGGTAGAATGGATTAAAAATCATGATCTAATTATATGCAGTCTAACAAGTCTATTTTATTTATTTAGTTTTTTAAAGTTATAATAGACATTTATTTAAAATAATATATTTGAAACCCAGATGGTTCTAAATTGTACATTTCAGGTTTAACCAACATAATTAAAATACTGAGGACAGATGCATCCACAGATTTTGATTACATGATTACTTCTTTGCCCATTCTTCTTTTTCTTTTCTTTCCCGAATAACATCTTTCAGATACGGTTCAAGGTAGAATTTATCCTCCTCATATTTTGTCCACTGCTCTTTAGCCAAGATCTGCTGCCTCATGGAAAGGTCCAGGGCTCTCTTAATACAAAACACTCTGTCATTATACAGGTTCTCAGGAAGCCTAATTATGGCTTCTTGAACATCGTTATCCACATGTATTGTATTGTCTCGCATTAATCCCAGTTTATTAAACCCTGCAGCATTGTAATACCATTTTCAAATACCCTCTAGCCACCAGCTTGATGCTGCAACAACAGGCCGACCCCTCATTTTGACTCGATGCTGAATAATAAGTCTATTTTAGATTAAAAAATATAAACAGGTCAAAAGCACAGAGCCTCATGAAAAAAATATATACTATGCAAACAGTAATCAAAAGAAAGCTGGAATGACTATGCTAGTATCAGACAAAACAGACTTTAAGAAACAATATTTTTACTAGAGACAAAGGGTATTTTATGATAAAAAGGATAATTTATGAAAAATATATTACAATTAGAAACAAATATGTATACTTAACAACAAAGTCTTAAAATACATGAAGGAAAAACTGAGAAAATTTAAAGGAGAAACAGACAATTCAACAATAATAGTGAGAGACTTCAATACTCCACATTCAACAATGGATAAAACAACTAGAAAGAAGACCAGTAAGAATATAAGAACCTGGGACTTCCGGTCAAGATGGCGGCGTAGGTAAATGCAGCATCGCGTCCTCCCACAACCACATCAAAGTTACAACTAAATTACAAAACAACCACATTCAAAACCGCCTGAAATCAAGCTGAATGGAAGTCCTACAACTACAAAATTAAAGCAGCAGCCACATCCAGACTGGTGGGAAGAGCGGCGCGACGGGCTGGTCCCACACCCAAGTGTGGCGGATAAAAATCAGGAGGCTCCCGCGGCTGGGAAGGTCCTTCCTGAGGACTGAGGGGGTCCCTGTCCCACACCAGGTGCCCCGCTCAGCGTTCCAGTGCCAGGAAGAGAAGTCGCCCTAACTTCTGGCTGGAAAAAACAGCGGGAACTGAGGCTCAGGGAAGCTGAAGCGGCTGGAGCCCCAGGCAGCTCCCTAAAGGGCCCGCGCACAGACTTATCGGACTCACACCCTCTAAGCTTGGAGGGGAGGCACCTCAAGGGGCACGAGAGACATACAGGGAAGAACTGAGCTGCTTGGCACTGGAGCGAGGGCTGGAGAGGGGGCTTTCTCGGGGACAAACGTGCTGTCAGAGGCCTTTGTTCCTTTGGTGAGCCCTTCCCGGGGCGGCAGATAGTCGCCATATCTGGAACTCCAGCAACCTGGCTCACACTGGTAGCCCCGCCCTGCTGACTCCCTGAGGCCCCGCCCCACCCCACACAACTTTCAAGCCCACCCAAGCTGTTGCCACTTGCTTAACCATAGGATTGGCCTGTCTTGGATCCTGCTTCAGGTTTTTCCTAAATTCTTTCAAATGAGCAGCATCTGGTCTCAGCGTGCCCCATACCTCTCATTAAGTAATACACTGAAACAAACACAGGGAGGCAGCCAAAACGAGGAGACAAAGAAACAGGTCCCAAATGAAAGAACAGAACAAAACCCCAAGAAAAGAACTAAGCGAAATGGAGATAAGCAACCTAACAGATGCTGAGTTCAAAATATTGCTTATAAGGATGCTCAATGAACTTAGTGAGAACCTCAGTGAACTTAGGGAGGGCCTCAAGAGCATAAAAAAGGACCAGTCAGAAATCATGGATACACAGTTAGAATTGAAGGAGGCATTAACTGAAATAAAGAATAATTTACACAGCTTCAATAATAAAGTATGTAAATCCAAGGAGCAAACCATCCATTTGGAATATAAGGAAGCAAAAAACACCCAATCAGAACAGCAAAAAGAAAAAACAACCCAAAAAAATGAGGATAGTGTAAGGAGCCTCTGGGACAACTTCAAGCGTGCCAACATTCGCATCTTGGGGGTGCCAGAAGGAGAAGAGAGAGAACAAGAAATCGAAAACCTGTTGGAAACAATAATGGCAGAAAACTTTCCTAACCTGGTGAAGGAAACAGACATACAAGTCCAGGAAGCACAGAGAGTCCCAAACAAGATGAACCCCAAGAGGCTCACACCAAAACACATCATCATCAAAATGCAAAAGGTTCAAGACAAAGAGAGAATCTTCAAGACAAAGAGAGAATCTTAAAAGCAGCAAGAGAAAGGCAGCTAGTTACCTACAAGGGAGTTCCCATTAGGCTGTCAGCTGATTTCTGAAAAGAAACTTTGCAGGGCAGAAGGGAGTGGCAAGAAATATTCAGAGTTATAAAAAGCAAGAACCTACAACCAAGATTATCCTGCAAAGCTGTCATTTAGAATCGATGGACATATAAAAACTTTCCCAGACAAGAAAAAGTTAAAGGAGTTCATCCCTACCAAACCGTTATTATATGAAATGATGAAGGGTCTTTTTGAAGAAAAAGATAAAATGTATGAACAAACAAAATGGCAATGAATACATATCTATCAACAATGGAATCTACAAACAAAATGAACAGGTAGAACAGTAACATTCTCATAGATACAGAGAACATTTTGTTGGTTGCCAGTTGGGAGGGGGGTTGGGGGAATGGGTGAAAAAGGTGAAGGGATTAAGAAGCACAAATTCATTGCTAGACTGACAAACCTCAAAGGGAAAGGGGTTGGGGGGGGTGGGAAGAAATAAACCAAAGAACTTATATGCATAACCAATGGACAGAGACAATAGTGTGGGAAAAGGTGGGAGGGGGGCGGGAGTGGGGAGGAGGGGGTCAATGGGGGAAAAATGTGGAACATCTGTAATACATTTTACACCCAACAATAAAGATTTGACCAAAAAAAAAGAAGGTAAAAACAAAGAAAAAAACAAAATAAGAGCCTGAGTCTGGCTGATGTGGCTCAATGGTTGAGGTGTCGACCCATGCACCAAGAGGTTGCTGGTTCAATTCCCAGTCAGGACACATATCCAGGTTGTGGGCCCAATCCCCAGTGAGGGGCATGCAGGAGGCAGCCAATCAATGTTCGCTCTCATTGATGTTTCTATCTCTTTCTCCCTCTCACTACTTCTCTCTCTGAAATCAATAAAGGGAAAACAAAAATTTTAAAAAGGAAAATAAGAATATGAACAACTAAACCAACTAGACCTAAAAGGCATACAGACTCCACCTACCAACAGCAGAATACATAGGATACATATTCTTCTAAAGTACACATGGCACATTTTACAAGACATGTTATGTTAGGCTCAATCAAGTCTCAATAAATTTAAAGGGATTGAAAGTATGTTCTCAGATGACAATGGAATGAAATTAGAAATCAATAAAGGAAGGGAATTTGGCAAATTCACAAATATGTGAAAATTTTAAAACAAACTCCCAAGTAACTAATGGGTCAAAAAAGAAATGACAAGAGATACCAGAAAATAGTTTTAAATGAATGAGAAGGGAAACACAACATACTAAAACCAATGAGAAGAAGCACTAAGATTAGAGCAGAAATAAATGAATCCGAGAACAGAAAAGCAATAGAGGCAATCTACAAAACCAAAAGTTGATTTTTATAGGGATGGGGAACCTTTTTTCTGCCAAGGGCCATTTTGATATTTATAACATCATTCATGGGCCATACAAAATTATCAACTTACAAATTAGCCTGCTATATTTGGTCAGGCTAACTTGGTGGGGTGTGTGATATTGGCTGGTACTGATTTCACGAGCCTTATACAGCCCAAGGGACAGACGTTCCCCACCCCTGGCAGATCAACAGATTGACATACCTTTAGGTACAGACTGACCAAGAAAAAAGAGAAAAGATTTAAATTACTAAAATCAGAAATAAAGGCTGTGACTTCCAGTCAAGATGGTGGCGCAGGTAAACATGGTATCACCTCCTCCCACAACCACATCAAAATTGCAACTACACTACAGAACAACAATCATTGAGAATCACCTGAAATCAAGCTGAATAGAAGTCCTACAACAACAAAATTAAAGAAGCCACATTGAGAATGGTAGGAGGGGCAGAGGTGCGGAAGGGCTGGTCCCACACACACATCTGGTGGATAAATATCAGAAGGGAGCCCTGGCCGGTTTGGCTCAGAGGTTAGAACGTCGGCCTGCGGTCCAGAGAGACCCGGGTTCAGTTCCCGCTAGGGGCATGTACCACAGTTGCGATTTGTTCCCGGCTCTGGTTGGGTTGTGCAGGAGGCAGGCACTCGATGTGTCCCTTTCACATTGATGTTTCTCTCTTTCTCTTTCTCCTTCACACTCTATATGAACAAAAAATGGAAAGATGTCCTCGGGTGAGGATTAAAAAACAAATCAGGAGGGATACCTTGGCTGTGAAAGTCCTCCCTGAGGAGTAAGGAGACCCAGTCCCACACCAGGCCCCCCAGCTCAGGGTTCCAGTGCCAGAAGAGAAGTCCCCATAACTTCTGGCTATAAAAATCAGCGGGAACTGAGGTTGAGACTGCTGGAGTCCCAGGGAAGCTCCTCTGAAAGGGCCTGTCCACAGACTTACTCAGACTTGTTCCTTCTGGGCTCCAGTGCAGAGAAGGCAGTTTGAAGGGCACCAGAGACATATGGGGAAAAACTGAGTTGTTTGGCATCAGGGCAAAAGCTGGAGAGGCAGCTTTCTCCCAGACAGATGTGCTGGTGGAGGTCGTTGTTCCTTTGGTGAGCCTTTCTCCCACAGGACCAGCACATGGGTGCCATATCTGGGACTCCTGTACCTGGCTCACACTGTTTGCCCTTCCCTGGTGATTCCCTTAGCCCCGTGACCCACCTAACTTTTGGGCCCACCCCAGCTGTTTCTCGTGGCTTTACCATAGGAATATCCTGTCTTGGCTCATACATGAGATTTTCCTAAAATCTCTCAAATAAGCAGCCTCTGGCCTCAGCGAGCCCCACACTTCTCGCTGAGTGGCCCCAGGCCTGGCAATAGAAGCAGCCAGCCTTGGTTCACAGCTTGGCTTTGCCTGGGCACCTCCAAGTCCATCAAAAGAAGCAGCTATATGCAGATCACTTTGTAGCTTATACCTCGTGGCTCCGAGTAGAACACAGGCAGTTGCTGACCTTGACTTGTGCCTCCTGGGAGGCCCCAAAGCCAGCACATTCAGTGGACAGCTTCAGACCACGTTGAAGCACCGCCACCCAACCACCTCCACAAGCGACACACTCAAGGGGTGAACTCAGTGGATACCAGAGCCCTGCTGAAGTAAGTCTTGCCCTGTGTGGTGGGCCC